ATATTGATTCACTTATATGCATTATTTCCTTGTCCATGTCGGAATTGTACTCTAAACAACAACATGTATTTTTAGCTTTATCTGGCAGCGCTGTTGCTGCAGGTAGTAATGTGGGCCTATTTCAAAATAAGCTAGTTTTTGGATTTGTATATGCTGTCTGATGAAAATGCTTCAATTGCTCTGCAGGAGAAGACAAGTATGTTGTTTTTGTTTCAGGATTAAACATTGGAAGCAATATTTTTAATCCACTACAATTCCAGCTTTTTGTTGACCATGTTACTGGGCATTTGGGTGGTGATAATGTATGTACTGTGTTTAGTACCAAGTTGTTTTCTAGGTTGTAATGCTACATGGTTCTCACCTAGGAACAATTGGACAGGAACAAAAAATGACTTCTCAAATTGTTCGTGTAGTAATTGCTGGAAACTCCGTTATAATTCCGCATAGTGTTCTTAATGGACAGGTATAGTAGTAAAAATTAACAAATGTATACTTAAGGTGATACTAATCAAATTTTGTTAGACTAAATAAGATTTTTATTAACATTTACTGCTCTTGCTAGCATCTGAAAGATATAATATTTGAATGATTTTGGGACACTTAGGCATTAACTCCTGAGGATCAGAGAAAGCTAACTGAGCCAATTAAGGAGGTTGATATCTTATTAACGCAGGTTTGATGACTGCTTATCTTCACTTTTAAAGCTCTTACATGAGCTTTGAATGTGCCCTTCTACCTATTTTCCATCTTTCTATTACTCCCAAATTTTGTTTTCATTTTGCTTTTTTGTGAGTCAGCTTGCAGCAGCTGTGCCTTTGGATATTATGCCAGGTCCTACGGACCCTGCAAATTCCTTTTTACCACAGCAGGTATTCACCTCTTACTCTTACATTGTTTCGTTGGTTGATTAAAGTGTGCATGTAGGTTGATTCTGCATGCGGTGTATCTGTATGTCACGAGTATGTGCTGCTAATCTTGGGAATATTTTGCTCTTTCGCTGCATCCATAGTTTCAAGGCATCATCTGAGGGTATCACAAATTGAATCTTGATCAGTTGCGCATAAGAGACATTAGATGTCCAGCCCATAAGTAGCTCTAGTACTCTGGGTCTGCTCATTCACTTTTATGTGCATAGGCGTGAATTTCATTGACTTTGCTATCTTGCATGAGCATGCTTGTGGCTACCATACTTGTCAGTTGATGATACATATTCATTTTATCTGTGATGTCTTTGTTTTGTTTTGTTTGTGTGCCACATTTCAGTTTGCATATATTAGATTTATATGATATTTTGTGAATCTTTTTAATGATTGAACTATTTTCATTATTTTCTATCCTTTATTTTATCGTTTTAACCGCTTTAGACCAAGTGTATATACTTAAATGCTTCAGTTTACCCTGATGTCTATTTCTTATTTAGTTGCATCTTTACTTTCTCCAGCCACTGCATAGATGTCTCTTCCCTGGAGCATCCGCTTATAATACATTCTTCTCGTGCACAAATCCTCATCAATTTGAACTTGATGGTTTTCAGTAAGTTCCATGCCTATTATATTTGGGTTTAACAGTTTTGGAGGTTCTCATTTATGAAGATGAAAAAAATTAGGTTCCTTGGAACATCTGGTCAGAACATTGATGATCTTGATAAGTATTCGAGTGCCCAGACTAAACTTGAATTTGTTGAGAGGACGTTGCGATGGAGGCATCTGGCTCCTACTGCCCCTAACACCCTTGGTATGCTTAGCTGCTATTTATTATTGAATGTGTTGTTTCCTAGTTGTAAATGTTTATACTCATGTGATTAGAGCAGCTTAAGTAGAGCTCAAGTAGAAAGATACTTTCATTTGTTCAATTGTCTAATTCTGGCTTCAAATAAAACATTATTTTTAACTTGTTGAATAAGCATGAAAAATCAAAAACCAAAATTTCCCTAGTTTAAGTAACTTGAAGTGCAACTATTTGAAATTAGCACGAGTCCATTTCAAGGATTCCTTTTTATCTTTCTTTTGAGCGTTCTCTTTTACCCCCTCAGGTTGTTATCCATTTACTGAGAAGGATCCTTTCTTCATCGAGAACTGTCCAAACGTATACTTTGTGGGAAATCAGGACAAATATGAAACAGCTTTGTTACAAGGTATTTTTGACTCTCAGGTCTTAATTTGATCGCATGATTTCATTAACTTTCACTTTAATCGACCTTTGCTTTTTTTATAGGACCTGAGGAACAAGAGGTGAGGCTCGTCTGCATTCCCAGATTTAGCGAGTCTGGAGTTGCTGTTATGGTGAGTTTTAATACGCAGTCTTGTAATTTACATTATTTTAAGTGCTAAACTAAGACTCTGCAAATAATGCTAAGCTTTTTAAGGGCTCATTTGGTTGCATGTTGATGGAAAATATATTTTAAATGTGATGATTTGTTCACTTAATTTAATTATGAAATTGAAATCTTTACTTGATGAATTTTGAAGGTGTTTGTAGAGTTTCAAATCCATATTTATTTCTAACTACATCCAATCAGAATTACCAAAAGAAGCAATTCGATGAATTCATCAATTTTTAAAACATATTTTCGAATTTCAAACAACCAAATGAGCCCAAGTATATATCAG